TTAAATAAGAGGATGAACAAAAGGAAGCACTTATAAAATCAATACACCAAGCTATTCTACTGTCAGTAGAAATCTGCTAGCTTACCACGATACTATGTCATGAACCTAGAACCTGAGCAATGACAACAAGTGCCAGACACTGGTCTCTTCATTGATGCATTTTTTGTAAGATGCTTTAGGGAACCCAACCTTGTCTGAAAAGTGAGTTAAATAAAACATTTTCTCTGTAGATGAAAATACAGGAGAGGGAGGGAATGTACCTTACTGGATATAGTCTTGTGTGCAGTTCATAAAGTTTTCACTTCTTCTTCATGTTCGTGTTGAAAAGCCATAATCGGTAGCAGCAAATTTGACATTTGACTAGTCACACATGAGATGTTCATAATAGAGCATTTTTCAGGGCCCCATGGGCTAACCCTATAAACTGCTTTCTCTTTCCTGTACTAGGCTGGACATTCATTCAAAAGTATTCTTTGTATTCAGTACACATATACTACTGCACTTGTAAAAGCTTCTACACACAATACCAAAACGTACTTTATTGTAAAAAAAAGTGTCTCCCTAGGGATCTTATCTACCCCTGGGGCCATGTTCTTACTCTAAAGATTATTTTAACAAGTGATAGCCACCAGACCGGCTACTATAGGGGTGTAGTAACGGTCCACACTTGTACATCTGTACACATGGGGAACTCTTTCTCATGAAGAGCCAACCAACATTTGTTGGGCTAAGGGCCACACAGTTCCAGTGGTGAGTGAGGCTACTGCATTCAGCCCAGAGAATGAGCCAAAGGATTTATATGTTCTCTGAACAAGCCAGATTTTGTGGACCCCCTTAAGTGTATTTCCATATTAGGATACACCCAGGAAAAATGTCACACATAAAATCACCCTTAGGCAACACCTTAAGCTGTCATGGAATGCTTTTGTCCTAGCTTTCTCCAGATAAATATGATGTGGCTGGTGGGACCATGGGTTTGCTTGTGGCAACTTCAGGTGGGAAAGCTGCCTTGTGGGCACAGAAATGTCCACTAACCATTTCCATGATCACTCCAGGGCCATCTTAACAGCATTATGGGCCCCAGGCAAAGCAGTGTACTGGGCCCCCTACGACAACTACAACTACTGTTAATTTTGGAAGTTTTCCAATTTTCCAAGGGTTAACATACACAGATTTGTATGGGGCCCACGGGCAAGTGTCCATCAGGCCCATGCGTTAAGATGGCCCTGGATCACTCAGTTATATTTCCACATGGGCTCTCATCTATTTCTTTATAGGTAGTCATATGAATATCCATGTGATATCAAGAAAGGCCATGCCTCAATTTCACTTCAAAGCACCATGTCCTTTTCAAACTACAAACTAGTTTATAATGAGAAAAGGCTCTTTGAAGACCAAATACCCTTCAAATATGGAAGATTATGATAATACTTTTGTTTACCGACTTACTTTGTATACACATAAGATGCAATTTTTGATGAAAGTAATAATTTTTGCTTAAGGCCCTTATTCATTAATTTAACTGAAAACTCAAAAGACTTTTGTTTTAAGAGTCATATTCAGAAAACACAAAGAGTTGTATAGTTAAGCATGTAGCCGCATTTCCAATTATCTTAGCTGAAACCGATGTTAATTACCATGAAATCAGACTTAGGGATCATCATAAAATACATCTTTGTACTAGGCATGCCCTTGCATAAGTTTCTTTGAAAGGACAAAACACAATTTATATGTCTGTCCAAGTAGAACCTTGACAATGACTTTGCATATTAAGAACCATCTATAGTTAAGAAAAGCAGGGTTATTAAGGACAAACAACCCAGAGCTGAACCCAGGTTTACTGTTTTCAAACTCATATAAATAACATAAGGACAGAGTCTCCATGCGTTGTTTAGAGCAATGGGAGGACCTCGATAGGCATCAGCACGGTTGCTGACTCCTGCTATATATCTAACAACCCACAGTCTGTTAACAGTGACTTGTTGCTGATGTGCAAATTGTAGTTTAAGTATGAAGGGAGGGTGGGAGTGGCTTCAAGACCTCCAGCCCGCCATGCCATTTTCTAGGACCCTTCATTTCCTGGGCATTCTATTCCATTCCCCTCATCATTACGATGTTGTTTCCTTTTTATTTATTCTATCCCATCCTACTTTTCTACAAAGAACATTTGATTTCAGCTCCTCCCTCTCTGTGTTCTTGCTTTTTATGAGGAAAAAATGCACTTTGCTCTATCTCCTGGTAGCTGCAAGCATGAAGTACATGTGTGGTGTGTGGTCTTCTAGAGGATGTTCTAGGACAGGGATCCTCAAACTTTTTCATCCGGGGGCCAGTTGAAAGCTGCTGGTGCTGGGCGCGGGCCGGGAAGGTGGTCCTGGTGGTGCATGCGGGATGTCAGCGGCGTGGCACAGGTGGGTGCACGAGTGCGGCAAGGGGAGGCGAGGCACGGGTGGGCATGCGCCATGAGGTGGGCGCACAAGGCAGCAGCTTGCTTGCTTGGAGATCATTTTCTCCAAGTGAGCAAACCGCTGCCTCCCACACGCGGGGCGATGTGGTGACGGCAGGCGCATGCATGGGCGTGCACACGGCGGATCCAAATGGGCATGGCGGGCTGGATCCAGCTCCTGGGCTGTAGTATGAGGACCCATGTTCTAGGAGGTCTCTATGGTTCCTGTCACAGGAGCTCTGTTCCTAGTGAGCCTTGGAAATAGGAAGACATGTGGAAGCAACGTTTTACATTTGCCCTTTCTCCTTTTGCTTTTTCTGGGGCAGTGGCTGATACAGAGAGTCTTAGAGCGTCGCCAGAAGCTGATTTTTGCTCACTATGTATATAGGACCAAGGTTGCTCCAAAATTCCAAAAGGGAAGAAGGAATTCAGCTCCAAATTGATATAGGACAATCGTGACCTGCACTCACTGAAGCCTGTGCCAATGCAGCAGCATCAGTGGCAAATTCTTACATTTCCCATAGCAGTATCAAGTTGCTACATTTTGCTTTTGGAGGTAGAGGAACAGGAATGCATCACTGCCATGAGCTCCTGTAACATAGTAAATGTGTAACTGACACAAGATGTCTATTGTTCAGATGGGTACTGGACCCATTTCAGTCAGGCTTCAGACCCGGGTATGGCACTGAATCTGCCCTGGTCGCCCTGTATGATGACCTGTGCAGGAAGAGAGACAAGGGGAGTGTGCCCCTGTTGGTTCTCCTGGACCTCTCAGCGGCTTTCGATACCATCGACCATGGTATCCTCCTGGATAGGCTGGCGGGACTGGGAGTAGAAGGCACTGCTTGGCAGTGGTTCCGCTCCTACCTTGATGGCCAATTCCAGATGGTGGTGCTGGGGGACTTTGGCTCTACCCCATGGCAACTTTGCCATGGAGTACCACAGGGTTCCATTTTGTCCCCCTTGCTATTCAACATCTACATGAAACCACTGGGAGAGGTCATCAGGGGGGTTGGGCTGCGGAATCATCAGTATGCTTTTTCTCTCTTTTTCAACCAGTCCAGGTGAGGCAGTGGCTGTACTGAACTGGTGCCTGGCCGAAGTAATGGGCTGGATGAGGGCCAATAAACTGAAACTCAATCCGGACAAGATGGAAGTCCTGTTGGTGGGTGATTTGAGCTCCTGGGTAGGTGACTTGGGCCTTGTCCTGGAAGGGGTTGCACTCCCTCTAAAGTACAGGCAGGGTTCGCAGCTTGGGAGTGCTCCTCAACCTGGAGCTGTCATTGGAAGCTCAAGTGACTGCGATAGTGAGGAGCGCTTTCCTTCAGCTTCGGCTAATCCATCAGCTGCATCCCTACCTGGAGGAAGATTGCCTAGCAACAGTGACACATGCATTGGTTACTTCTGGGTTGGATTTTTGCAGTCAGAGTAGGTCGATTTGTTTATGTTGATTTTTATGTTGATATTTTGTTATAATTTATGTGTATTGATATATGTATTTTATTTATGTAAGCCGTCCTGAGGCATATAAATATCACAAATAAATAAATAAATAAATAAATATCAGATGGAAAATGCACTTTTTAGAGTAAACTGGATGGCTCTCATCAATCTAATACACCCTGCAGTCTGAAAGAACCGATGCTATATGTATGTGTGTTTTATATTTAGGTGTAGTATCCTGAGTAGAAACCAAATCACTGTTCTTGAGACAAAAGATGGACAACTGCCCATTATAATCATAATTTTTGTAGAAAATTCTCTCCTTCCAAGCATTTCTTCCTCTTCTATATATTTGAGTCCCCATAAGAATTCCAAACACATGTAACCTTTTCAGGAAAAGATCGTATCTGAACCATTGATTATTTAATTGTTCTGGCAGTCCTTCAAGCCAGTGCTATCATACTCATATCTGACAATATTATGCATGTAGTTCCATAATAACTTCAAATTTATCTTCTCATCAGTTGCATGAAATCACCCTCCAAGACTTTGTACAAGCAAATTAAGTAAAGATATAAAGGAACATAAAATGTATTCAGACACATTTTGATAGGAAAAAGACAAACATTTCTAACCAATGTAAATTATAGATAAAATTATGGCCAAGATGATACAGGATTATAGCTCCAAAAAGGTTGTCATAACGTATAAACTTGTAATTTATGTTGCAATCATAATTCAAAATGGCCCTTTTCAGAATATAATTTCACTCAGCTTTCTCAGTTACAGTAGAATAAACTGGGTAAAATGTAAAATCAAAATGACATATTCCTGTTCTCTAGCAAGATGTTTTAAAATGGTTATTGCATAGTCTTGCAACACTGTACTGTATTGCTCTGCTAAAAACATTCCATGCATGCAGAAAGAAAGCCAATTTCACAAAAAAAAACCAAATAATACACAAGATTTCTCCAAACATTTCAAAAGTTTCCAATCCAATTAAAGTTTACTAAAGACAGAAAGTGACTATAGGCAGTATTTAATTATTTTATTAGACAATGTTTGCATTAATTTCTTTTAGACACCCAATAAACAAGGCCCCAGTAATACTTACTGAAAATTGTGATTTGGGCTGTGCGTTGGACCTGTGAATATATAAAGAAAATGCAGTTAGAAGGTTTAGTTCTGGGAAAACAAGTTGACAATTTTAGCTAACATTTCCACTTCTATTTAGTTTCAAACAAAGGTAAGTTTTATGCACCAACAGTAACAGTATTATTTTCAGACATAGTATCTTGTGTCTACAGGAGTAAATACATATATAAATTTATGTAAGCATGAGAATATTTCTCTCTCTCCAGTGAATATTATCTTACTTCATAATGACAGGTCTCTTGTAAAATGCTAGTGAAATGAATTTGACATGAATTTTTATGATTTTTTTCATTTAAAAATCATATTTTAATGAAAAATATAATCAGTACTTTTGTGTGAGTACTGTTTATATTTTTCAGTATATATATAAGCACTCAGTGCTTATATATATAAGGATAAGGACTCAGTACATATACATATGCATATGCACTGTAATTTAATGAATTTCTTAACATACATGGTGTATACACGTGGAGTGTCTACATGAAGACTAAATTCCAGAAAACCCAATTTGTATGCGTTTTCCTTTGCAAATGTATGTATTTTTTGTCCATTGCAATGACACTTGCACTGAAAAAATTCTTTATGCGCAGAGTGCAAGAAGAAAGCCCGCAACACATAGTGCTCCCAAGGGAAGAACAGCTACGTTGTTGATTGTTAAAGACCACTTCGTAAATGTCATACGAGCCAATTTATCACCATATTGTCTACATCACCATAATGGACATCACCTACTGTTGGCTGAAACATGAGACTGACTCTGTACATACTGTAACCTTTCTTCTTATTCTGAAGATTATTTCCGCCTACCCCATTTCCCACCACACTAAGCCATCCTTGGAAAACAGATTAAATAGTTCTTCATAAACAAAAAACGGAGGACATCTCATTGCATATTTCTTTATGATAGTTTGTTACTTCGCTCTCATGCTACATAACTATTTCAGGAATCGGGTTACCTGCAGAATTGAATGGTTTAATTCCAATGATATTAGGAATGCAGGAACACAGAAAGAGGTCTCAGTCCAATTCAAGTTAAACTAAATTTCCATCTACTAACCCACTAGTATTGATTCTGACTGGCAACAGCTTTCAAGGTTCATTAAAGAGATCTTTTTATCTGTCACTGAGTTACATCCTGTCTCCACTATATTTTCTCTTTTTCTTTGAAGAAGAAGCACCAAATATGCTTTTATGATGACATGCAGTACACAGGCCCTGTCCAAAAGTAAGTTACACATCCAGCAAAAAACATGTGCCTTGATTTTTTAGTTGGTATTCAGCTTTCCAGCTGCCACAGATATCATGTGTGATCTTACAAAGATTGGGGCCAAAGCTATGAATACCAGATGGAGAGCTGCTACCTATTCTTCTGGGCAGCAAAAACACGAGTTCAGGCAGTACTGTGAAATGCGTAGCAATGAAAGTTCGCCTTCTTTACCTTACACTAAACCTTATTTCACATTTGTGCCATTCTCTGAACTTCATATTTACAGACCGTTCCATCTGTATCTACTTTCTTTTATTACTAGTAAATGGTATCAGGTTCAACCCAGACGTCTTGTGCTGAGGAGGAAGCCTCAGGCAATGACTTTATTGATTTTCTTTCATGTTGCAATTTATTTTTGAAAAGGAAAAAAGAAAAACACTGGTGAATTAATTTCTCATTTGGCGATTGTGAAAACTAGGAGCAAGTCTATAAAGCAATAAACCTACTTATAAAAGCCACATTTTAAAACAAAGTGACTCACCCAGTCTTACAAACAGAACTCCTGTTGCTGTTATTGTCTTCATCCCATTTGTGGCCACACATTGATAATAACCAGTGTCGGTGGTGTCAAGATCCTGGATTCTTAATCGTGAGCCATAGTCTGTTTTCCTTATGATGATCCTTTTTGGTTCTTGAACCACGGGTGCATCATTTTTTAACCATTTGACATTGGGGGATGGATTTCCTGCTACTTTACAGTGGAGAATTGCTGTCTGGCCTTGGACTATGGTGATATTGTTGACTGGTTCCAAAAAGGTCAAAAAGTAACCTGAAAAGGTGAAGGTCAGGAAAGATCAAAGCTGAGCTGGGATAAGCGACTGCCTATGGACACTTATTGATGAACAACTTTAGAAAAAAATGCAGGTCTGTTTTTGTTAAACATATTTTGTGCTACTACACAGTTCTCTGAGTCATGGATTGACAACAGTTTTGAACCTCAAATAAGTCTGTGTTACTTTAGGAATCAGTTGAACTCAGTGTTTTTTGAGATGTATTTTAATTGGAATTCTCATGTGATTTCCTTATGTGTCACTTTAACAGACTGACAACAATGCAATAATAGGAAGGCTGCTTTTTGCAGCTTAAAATGATCATACTCTGAACATGTACCTCAACAAAAGTTAACTTGTTTGCTTAAATTATCCTGTTAATTAGATCCAAAGAATGGAAAAGCCATAAGCAGCCATATAACTCTGCAATGGTCCAGGATCCTGAATGCCAGATCATTTCCAAATTAACACTACCACCACACAGAAAGAAAAAGAAAAAAGCAGTTAGCATGATGGTATGCCAATATCTTTGCCTTGCAGCCAACTTTGCAGCCAGTACATTAATTCCAGACCTCCAAAATGCAGACAAGAGTCACAGGCTCTCCAACAGCAGAAGCAACCTTAATGTAGTCAGGATTTATGGACACTGTGAGAACTGGCCTGTGTCTGCAGGAAACCATTGCCTTATAGGTAAAATATGTAGTTGTACGCCTAGGGTAACTGCAACCATTTAATTTAAATTGTGTAGTCAGCTTTTCTATATACCAGAGGAGGTCCTGGGTTTTGTCATCTTCTTTAGGGCAAGAAGTTCCTCCCATTCCTAGATCACTATCACATTGAATTTGCAATGCACCAACAATAAGTTAATGGTTCTCAGTATTTTTGTAGCAGATGTAAAATCCTCTGCTTCAGATTCTGGCAAAGCTTTAGCCTGTATTGCAGGTAACATAACTTATCCTGCAGTTTTGGCTTGCTTTTTTCTATTGTTATCTGCTCCTTTCCTGTTTTAAAATTCCCCTGCCTTTCCTTCATTCTCCATTTATACACATCTTGGACTATGCATAGTCCGAGGTGTTGAACTGTTTTTCTGGTGATCATAGGAATGCAGGGCAGAAGACTTTTTCAAAAAGCTAAATCAAGTGGGAAAATGGGTTATTTACTTATGTAAATACAATGCAAGTAATAACATAAACAAAAAACAATATTAGCAAGTTAGGAACTAACAACAGCTGGTTTCAGTCTGACGTGGGTCAAGCAAGATAACTGAGGCTTAGAAAACATTTTTCTGTCTAAGTTTTATATTGCACTTTAGCTACAGAAGGATATTTAAAAGCTGTCCAGTTTAAATCATGTGCCAAGCCCTCCCATTGTGTGCACTGCAGTTCTAAAGTTCAGAGAACTGTTTTAGGCACTGAGACTGTAGAGGCATGAAGGCCCAAGTCCCGTGCCAGATACCTATGTTGACAAAGCTCAGAACCATCTGATTACATGAAATGAGTAACAGCATAATAAGTCATAATACGCATCACCAATTGAGTCAGCTTTGCTCATGGTACAATACCACTGTATTCTGCAAACAGAAATTCTTGTGCCATGCAGTAGCCCTCCAGATGGACGAAGATGAGAGAAACATTAATTAGTTGCCTGAGAACAGGTCACTTGCACTCTTTTCCTAATACTGATGGCTGCTGCAGCTGCCCCACCTCCCACCAAGCAGGAGTGGGGCAAGAGCAGGTGGGGAGACTAACCTATTCCCTGATCCCATTATCTAGCCCAGCCTTCCCCAACCTTGTGCCTTCCAGACATGTTTGGACTGCAACACCCAGAATTCCCAGTCAATGGCCCTGCTGGATGGGAATTGTGGGAGTTGCTGTCCAAATGTCTCTCAAGACTACCAGGCTGGGGAAGGCTGATCCAGATGATCCTGCTCCTTATTCTGGAAGCTCCTATTAGCCCCAACATGGACCTTTATTTTACTCAACTCCTTTTCCTCATGCACAGGCCTTCCTGCAATAGCTATTTACATTGGATAATGTGCCTCAATTTCTGTTATGTAAATAGTATCCCATTCAGTTCTGCCCAAAAACACTGATTTAAGAGGATGCTTTCTGATGTCCACAGTTTTGGAAACAAAGCCACCAAAGTGTAATGTGCTCTACAGTCAGAATTTCCAAAGTAATATTTTGAAGTTTGAAGAACTGACTCCCAAAGCTAAAGTAATTGTTGTAATAGATGACTTTTACAACTCCAGTGATACCCTTAAACTAAAACAAGTTTATGAGGGCTTTAAAAACATTTGTTACTACATTTGCAGTTGAAAGAACCTACTAATAAATCTGGTTTGGGTTAGAAAAGCTTACTTTTACAGATGATATATTCTTCAACAAGACATTGTTTTAACAGATCTGAATTCCACAGGTTTTGCAAACAGAGTAAGTGTAGAGCAAGAAAGCGTACCACATATGTACTTTAATGCAATGAACTTAATTCTGAATGCCAGTCTGTACTGATGTACTGTTCATCAGAGGCATTTGTGGTGTACTCTGTTCTGTAAAAGGCAAGTCTACACTAAGGACACGAGGGAAGCAAAAGTGTTTGAGAAACAGAACTAGTTGCACTGTTACTCTCTTTTGAAAGATCTACAATTATGGGTACACTCCCATGGATATCAAAAACCAAGACTACTGAGCAAAGGCTGGCTGTGCTTTCACGATCTATTGCAGATTTTGCAGATCTAGAAAACTTCAGGATATTGATAAAAGCCTCAGGTAGAATATTGAATAATTAAATAAAACATAAACAAAAAACCTACTCTAAGGAAGCACATATGTAATCAATACAGTTAATTCTCCATTTGAAATAAGAGTAATTAAATATTACTCTTGAATAATTATTGAAAATTACTCTTGAATAATATTATTGAAAATTTTGATAAAGTTAGTTTTGGACAGTCTGGTAACAAGACATTTGGTTATATTGCCTGCCCTAGAATTGTAGTACATGAAATCTCATTCTGATAATGGCATTTATAATTGCTGGGGATATGAAGTGCAGCCCACAGTATCCAAAGGTCTGGACGATTCCAATGGAAACTTGGCCTTCCTTTTAACATCAAGCATTGCCCCCTTCCCCTCAAGCCACATCAGCAATTGCATTTGAAACTCCTTTCAGCT